AAATTTGATATCCAAAGTGGATGTTTCATTTAATTCTTATAAATGTGTACCAAAGTCTGACCACACACTCCACTTGCAACTCATGATATAATAACGCTATTTAAAAACAAATTTTTGAAATCGAGCCATAGCAAAAAAATTGATATTCGTGCTGTTTTGAAAAGCTAGGGGTGGTAGTAAAACACTGTGATGAGCTCCTTCAGTCATTTATTTTCTATACAGTCGCTTCGCTCGTGCCAATAACATTTATGAAACTCTTTTTTTTTCACTTTTTCAATATATCCATGTGATGTCATCACGCAGTAGTTATTATCCGGTAATATGCTTAACTGATTTCAAGAAAATATCAGCAAAATTTTTAGAATTCCCTATCTTGGCCAGACAAACAAATAGGGAACTTGAACAAAATTTTAATTTGAAAAATATACCATAGTTCAAAAAAAAATCGTAGTTCTATGTAACAAAGCAAGCAATTAAAAGTTGTAAAATCTAAATCCTCTTTGAAACGCGCTGTCATTGGCTGGGACTGGTTGTGACGTTAATTCGCTTGTATATACGCGCCAGCCAGACGGTAGCATAGAGAAGCCATTAGAGAACGACACCTTGGTGGTATTGATTTTAATTTCGCTCGTTTGCTTTTGTTATATTGTGTTTAGTATAAAAAAGAAAGTTTTGAAAATGAACGAAGCCCAGTTTTTACAAATTCATCTTACATACAAAACACCGCAAGTTTTTCTTTTGCTGAGGTTCGTGGCCTTAAAGCTAAAAGTTATGTTCATAGAAAATTTAGCAAAAGTTTCAAACAATATCCGTAATCATGTTTAAGTTTTCTAGATTTTGAAATATAAGTGCTATACCAAATAAAATGTAAATTACTCAACAAAACCAAAATGATTTTTTAAAAACTAGTTCAAACCTAAATATTGATTTTAAAGTACATTGATAACTTAAAGTTTTCTTTATTTTATATAGATCAAGAAGCTATTCCTATGGAGACCGCAAAATTCAAAATTATGAATGCAAATTCGAAGAGCTAAAAATGTTTGTACTGTTAAAGCTAAGGTGACACCTGAACAACGGATTTTATTTTCTGGTAGATAAATAAAAAGTTTATCTGACGCTTTACGGGTTGTACCCAAACACGATGTTTCTGTGTTTCTTCCATTATTATCATGTAAAGCATACTAAGCATAAATACAAAAAACTGTCCTAGGTTAAATACAAACACACTTTACACGAGACAAAAATTAACGTAAATAATCGCCGTATCGATCGAAAAGCAGCGGTATGATGTCATGATAATTCTCGTCGTGTAGTAAAAGGAAAAGTCGGATGTCACAACTTCAATTATTTACTGCAACTTAAATATTTTTTTATATTTTCTATGGGTTATTTCTATGCATAGACAAATGTATTAAAGAAATGAAAAAAAATGTTCAAGTTCCCTATTATACAATGTTTATAAGGGCAACTTTTTGAAAACCTTGTATTTGACAATATTCCCTGCCGCATAGTATAATTAACTACGTATACTATTGTAGGCGATATTTAAAGTAACAAATATTTTAAGAACCTTTAAATCATTGATTTCTTTGATAGTCTAGGTTATTGTTGCCCATCCTTCGTATTCATCCCATTAGAAGTCGGCAGAAGCCATCACAAAAAGAAGCGTACGAGAGCAAAGTCGGTCGATGCTAGAGGAGAATCTTTAAACACGACTTGACGAGCACGAGCGAAATTAGACAAGTGCGCGATTTTCCACACTATATATTAGATTTGTTAGGTCGTGTCTACATCGTCTTGGCTTATATTGTTTATCTGCGACGAGCTTCTTATTTACGTAAGCGAATTACGGAAATCGAAGCGGCCATACTTTTTGATTGGGTAACCAGACGACTACACGGGGCTGTGCTCTGGTTCTTAATGCGTGAGAATTATAAATTATTATTGAACTCTAGGGTTTAGTGATTTTAACTGTATTCCGTAGGGGTAGTATTGTAACAACGATAATTGTCGTCAAAGCAAAGTACAGTAGGAATAGATACTGTAACAAATGAAGATAAAAACAACGTTTTGCTATAAAAAAAATGCCTATCTATTTTGAAATATTGTGAAAAACTTGGAAAGAAATAAATATTTCTAACCAAAACTCAAAACAGAAAAACACTTTTAATAGAGAAAGACGAAATTAACGGTTGCTTCCACCCTGTGTAATGATTCCTCTCATTGCAAAGTTAAATTTTATATATGCAAAGGTATATCAAAAACAAAGCTTAACCCTATGTTATTTTATGCCACGTCCATTAAGCATTTTTTCTCAGAATGAACCATTGAACAGCAGTGGGTTATTGTTGCCAGCGTAGAAGCACCATTTCGAGTACTACAGCTAGACAGGTACCCGACCTTTAACATACGTTATGTCATTTAGTAACAATTTTTCGACACAGTTCTCGTATAAGCAAGCGCTAATGTTTTTTGTAGTTAGGGAGATGATGTTCCTGGTGGGCATAAAACAACATAGATTTACAGTCGCGACCTTGGATCAAAATCATAACTTAAAACGTTTTACGCGTGCGAAAAGACAAGTTTGAAGTCTTTTTTAAAGATGAAACAATGGACTGGGTAGATAAACATGAGAGTTTTGCGGGACTATGGGTATTTTGTGATGATACTTTCTTCTCAAACGCTCACGTAACAAGTTTCACGCAAATTACACAAAGGTTATCGTTTCCAAAATTTGGGCGGATGTTTTGGTTTACATTTCCATTTTTATGGGACCGTTGTTACCAAATTACCAAAGTAATTGTAAACTTCTCAAAAAAAGTATCATCTAATCGGTAAAATGATATTTGTATCATATCTGAACATCTTATAGAAACGTACAAACCGATCCTCTAAAGAAATCAAGTGAGCAGTTCTCAGTTAGGGTATTGGCAAAATAGTAAATAATCTAGATTGTATGGGAAGTTGATTAAATGAGTCAAACTAAAAACAATAAATAGTGTAATAGCCAACGTCCATAGATAGGCACTAGAAAAAGAAGAAGAGCTTGGATTAAAAGTTTTAGATTGACCTATTGAAAATCCGGATATGAATCATATAAAGTACCTCTGAGACCATCTGATGTTAAAAATGCGAATCTTACAAAACTCTAAAGATGCTATGGTTGAAGCATAGGATAATATTTTATTATTTTATGTACAAAGAGTAACTATCAAAATTTTTAAATTGCCAGAAACCATTTACATTTCTTCAAATCGCTATAAAAATTGCAAAATTTATGTTGAACAAAGTCTTTTTTATTTAACCAAAAATAACCAAAATCACCAGATTTTAATTTATAAAGTTTATTATTATGGTTATATAAAACACACAAAATTGAATTTTTATCAAAATATCCTAAAGTAACAGCGGGGATAGTGCAAAAACCGTAAAATGGATACATTTTCTAATATTAAACGCAAATATTAAATGATTTGATGACAGCCCGGCTCTCGCAAGTGACACCGTCATTTGGAAATAATTGTAGTTGTGAGAAACGCGCCACTTGTATGATCGTGAGATCTGGAAAAGTTTAAATCCAACCACTTAAACATACAAGTAGAATAGCAGAAAAAAAAATGGAGATGTCTAATCATATATCCTCCAATTTGATAAAAAATATGTTCACTTTTCTAGACTTGGGACACAAAAAACTTTGACGGTGGATTTACTGTGATGTATAACAAAAATATTTCTGCATTATTTTAAAACATATTGTTACAAAGAATGTTCACATTTCATGGAATTTTTGAATTCAAGTAATGTTAACATACCTACTACAATTTGCGATAGGTGAATCAAACAATTATTGTTAAGCAACGCCGCTATTTAATAATTAAAACAAATATGTGACGATGTTCATGACCATTATAGCAGACTTAAAACCATTGGATATAGGAAAAATTACTGTGCACCTACGTTATATTGCCTTCACAATTATAAAACCTCAGTGAAAATGATTAATTTTAATTCTATCAGATTTAAATAATATAAATAGAATATAAGTTAATTTTCAAACTTTCAACCTAAAGTGAGTTCAGATAGCAAGTAAATTAAAGTAATTGGTGTGTTGCGTTTGGGTAAAAATATTGCACTATAAATTTAAGAATACTGACACATGTTAGATGCGGTAGAATTCGAAATATTTTTGTTAGTAATTTTATAAATAATATAATTTTATGAATAATATAATTTTATAAACCAACTTATTATTGAATTACTTTATTCACTTTTTTTCCATATCATCGCCATAGTGACACACTGTATCTCTAAAATGAAGCAAGTTAGGAAACACGGAAAAAGAGTTGAACTGAGGTGGCTTTTACTTGATGAAAATCCATTTAACAAAATAAATAAGAACTAAAAGTTCAGATTTTCACGAAATTATATATTTTCACATGACAATTGTTTCGACAACACCGTGTTTTTTTTTACTGAAAAAGAGTATCATTTTTATAAGAATCAAAAAATCAAATATTAGAAAAGTTTTCTATGATGGCTGGCGCTGGCACTGTTTAAACGTAACATATTTCCCAATTCATAGCCGCTAAAAATAGAACCACGAAGTATGACAGAAAGAGGAATCAAAACATTAAACCAACTTGTCAAAGTCATTACACGAGCTTAGTAATCCAAGGATCGTACCTGTTAAATTTAAGAATGCAAAGTTCGTGCAGCTTGGAGGTAAGATACAATACAACGCTACTAATTAAAATTATTGGCGTAATATTAAAGTTGTGAAATCAACCATAACATATAACTTACCTTCTTTAATTATGCACCTGCGTCAGGCGACTGCACGTAGGTGACATGTGTGATATACCGAGCAATAGAGGGGCTAAAAAGCAATCAACAAACAACTAATCATTTTTTTCTGAAGTCAAAGTTGACTGCAAAATTTATTGCTAACCTAATCATGCATGCTGTTAAACCATATATTTTTAGGTCAGAATAATGTCACTTTCCCAATTTCACTTTCCAGTTCAAATTTTAAAAATACGTAAGTAAACGTTTAAAGCAACATATTTATTATTATTAACACAACCATTTGCAAAGAAAGGGATAGGACAGCGAACATTTCTGTAATTTGGTAATAAATTATATAACATTCCTGTTGAAATGAAAAATATGATAACATTTAAAGGGTTTGGCTATAAGTTGTCTAATTGGTTAGTGTCAATCGTTGACTCAGCCTAAAGCTACTTCAATTAATCCAATCCATTATTTTGATTCCTGCTCCTTTCTGTTGGTCAGTTTGCCTTTGTAGGCTAGGATTTGTAAAATAAATTGCAGAAGAGTTCGACAACTCCAGCTTAATTAAGTGTTATGAATTCTATCACAAATGAATTGTTATTGTTATTTAACCCAAATTCAAGTTTAAATTTAATATGCTATTAAGCTAAAGCATCCTGTCCTCAGTAGAGTCTAGCATTATATTGAATTAAAAGCTTGTATCTTGTGGGAAATAAAAAATTGATTGTAATTAGTATTATTATTACTATTATTATTATTATTATTATTATTATTATTATTATTATTATTATTATTATTATTAATATTAATGCCACCGATCTATTCTGATATATGGTGCCTATTGCAAAAATTTTATAATTTAATTTTAATATTTATAGAAAATGAAATAATTTTCTCACATCGAAACTTACGTTCTTTAGGCTGCTTCTCATACAATTACTAATACTACTAACACAGTCACCAAAATTCACTTAGTTTGGTAAAATGCATGACTTTCTAAATAAAAATGGTCGTCAGCACAAGCTAAGGACACATTTTTAAGATATATGGGTATGCAGGGTTAAGGCTTGATTTTATTGCTTTGTACAGGATGTAACGCTATTTAGGGAATGTAACAAAATGAAACTATATATTTTGTTATACAGGCTGTTGCAAAACAAATGTGAAACACTGACGAGGTGATTCCTTTTTAAAAATAAAGTGTAGTTTGCTATATAAACGTATCACACTTTTTTTTAAATCATTCTTATCAACTAAATTTAAGAAAAAACTTTTGCAATTACATATAAAGAATATATTTTTTCTGATCCATTCTGTAAAATTCCTAATTATACACTAAAAGAATTAGTCATGACTTCTGTAATACAGGATATTGAACATCTAAGAAATCGGACAATTATGTCTTATTAAAAGAAATAACTTCCAATGCATAATGCAACAATTTTCAACAATTACTATAAAAATTGAATTTTTGTTTCGCCTTTGGGGTAGAGTTAAATGTTTTAAAGAAAGTATTTATCGTTTTTTTTTATAAAAAAATAGATTTAAATATTACAAGCGTCAAATACAAGTTCGCACGTATATCAATTCTAAATTATCGTTCCCATGGGTAAGCAAACCCATTACGAACGTTACGAACAATGATAATAATTATCGGGTACGGATCGGAACATACTTAACGCACGATTTGCCCAACATCTTTGGTGAGATCGCGCATCTTCAAAGAAGATCAGGCGGCGCTTCTTCCCTACCCGTATGTAAATATTACCTAATCCCCGTGAGGTTTTCGATAGTGGGTGACCCGAAGAGTACACAACTTTGGGGTAGATCGCTTCTTATAAAAGCGCATCGGGATGCGCGTTTTGGGCAGTCATTTGCTTGTGATTTGCTTGTTCAGTACGGGTGATAGAATTCAGGTTGGTATGTTCGTGTTCATGAGAGAATGGGATTACACGTGTCATCGAATTTGATTTAGTTTTCGGTAGTTTTACATAAATTGAGACTCGAGGTGGATGTAAATTTGTAAACCAAAAAAAAGAAAGATGCCTTGAAAATTTTGCTAGTAGATGTTGAAGTACAACTTTAAATACAACAAAAAGCTTAGTAAAATTAATTTCACTTGCATTTTAAAACAGACTTAAGTCAAATATATTATTAATAATGCAGAATTCTGAGTTTGTTGTTCTGAAGGGAATGAAAAAAATTTCTTCATGGCGCATGCCTTATCTTTGTGGGATACAAAAACTAATTCTTGATTAAAGCACTGGACTGTCTATCAAACAGTCAAGTAAATTGTAGAAAAAACTAAGTCTGCAATAGCAATTCTGCCATCTTGGTATCTCTCCAAAAGGAGTGGTAAAGTGTGTCGATGTTTTCTGTAAGAGAGATGATTTAAATATTCGGTTTGTGCGTTTGCTTAAAATAAACGAGTTATAGAGCGTTGATAGAAGCAATGATTTTTTTACAGTGTTATTGATATTCTTGATATTAATCATTAAGCAATAAAGTAATTAGATACATATATATTTTTTTGTAATGCCACGCTATTATGAAATACCCTGTATGATAATAAATATTCACTAAAAGATGTTTGAAAACAAAACCGGAAATTATTTATTTGCAGGTCACGATATGGGATGGATCTGGTTAGGCATAGGTAAGTTTCCTCCTTTATATGGTACAATTTGATTTTGTTCGTCACATTTATTTTTTTATCAACATTGGCTTAAAATGTCACTTCTGTTTTTGCGATTATATCAGAAAACGCCAAAAAATAATCTAGGAAGAGCCTTTTTAACGACTGCAACTTTATTTGAATGCGTTACGCCTTTTTTTAGTTAAACACATTTATTTCTGAACTTTTGAATTTGTCTTAGCTTTAAAATACTTAGTCACTTTAATTATGGTCAATATTAGTATTAACTTTAAAAATCGAGCGGCCAAACCGTACCTAATTGCCTTTACGGTATATTAAGTTTTGATTTTTTTTAAATCGTATTTAAATTTAGCAAAACAAGTCGCGATTATGATATATAAGTGAAAAGAGAAAATATAGCACGATTTAAGGACATAAATCATTCAAAGTATTCTGCTGCAAAAATGCATGTTCAAGTAGATTAAAAAAATGTATGTGTACATGCCATGCCATGAAAAAATAATTGGTTATAATAGAATTGAATAGAATAATATAGATAAATAAGTAATAACTATTATATTACAGACAAATCAAATAATTAGAGTACACAAAAAATACGAAACTTCAAACTGACGTGGAAAAGTGACAGTTCCTGCACGCTAGATCGGTGTATAATTAGGTATTTTACAGATGAGTCAGTCTTTCATTTTTATTGTAAATTGCTTAAAAGGTAGGTTTTTAAGATTTGGCCGAACAACATGACAAAATTTTACATTAATTATTAATTAGATTGCTACTAACCAGGTGTGATCATATCAACTTGGCAGGTATTGTAGTACTGCCAATTAGTGGTTACTCGATAGATATCAAAGTTTACAGGTATATACAAAACGACTTAATTGTAATACGTAGAATTAGAAGAACGTATCATAAGTAGAGTTGTGGAACTGTGTCAGTTAACCAGTCAATGGACCGGACAATTGACTGAAATAATTTAAAAAGTAGTATATTGTCGATTACGTCGCCGTCGCGTGGTTCTGGGAACCAAATGGAATCCATATCATTATTGGTATGGGTACATTAGACATCACAAACGCATAATAATTTAATATGAAATGCATATTATTATTAAATAATGATAGATAACTTATAATTTAACCTACAATTGGCGCATATTAGTTATTTGTTAATTCTTAGTACATTTATCTTGAAATGCTTCTTTTTATGTCCTTAAAGGAAAACAATTTTCAATGTAATCATTTTTCCAAATAAAACGACCGAAACTTTTACGTTTACCGATCTAATCGCGTAGCAATAACTAACCGTCGAAGAAAGTTTGAAATTGATGTCTCTCACTTCTTAAAGATATAAATCCTGTACAGAGTTGCGAGACACACGACCGACTTGTTTTGAAATCGCAAGTGACCCTTTCGGCGATTATTGCGAAAATAACTACCCCGAAGATGGTTCGCGTACTTCCTATACACGACTGGATTTAATTTGCAAATAACGCGCCATATGTGCCGTTTGTGATAGTGAATTGTGATAATAGCGCTTCGAGCAAACATACGTAACGCTCATTCCTCAGTCGAAATTTACGAATTAATTTTTAGAGCTTCATTTGATTCGGTCTACAAACCAATACTATACAGAGTGTTTTCAAGTTTCAAGAAACCGGCATGTCCAGAATTTTCTGATATACAGGGTGTTAATATTCTTAAAAATCATTAATAATTAATAATAATAATATCGGTTATTCTCTCTAGATATTTCAATATTATTCTGGATTTTTTTTAATCGAATTCGGTACTCTGAGCCATCAAATATATTTTGAAATTTCTACAAGTGACATACGTAAGAGATCTCTAGATCAAATCATATATATATATATATATATATATATATATATATATATATATATATATATATATATATATATATATATATATATATATATATATATATATATATATATATATATATACAATGCATTTTTTCTTCTTTTTTTCTTAAAAATTATTTTACAAACACAACTTCTAACACTCAGTAAAAAACATTAAAAACACTTCATATATTAACCGGGAGCATAAGATCTTGAACCTCTTTTAACAACAAACTGTAGCCTGTTACAAAAATCTTATTATATCCTGTTTATTATATGACATATCCTAATATCGGCGCTTAAACCATAAAATATCTTAACGTAGCTCATAATTCAGTCGAATAATAATATAAAAAATGACATGATGGGGTAAGATTAACAAAAAAAGCACATCCTTTTATAAAAATTATACAATTATTTAGCTCGTTAAGCTCAGTGGAAATTCTGTTCCTTGGTGAGTTTTGGGCGACAATATCAAACAGACAGTAACATGAAACTTCCCAATGCGCGAGTGGGAACATAGAAATCAAAGGACTGCAAGTTTTGAGGTAAACAATTACAATTATAATACACAGATTAATTTTTGCAAAAATGTTCACGTATATACAAATCCACAGGTTCACATGTTCTGTATCTCAAAATTTAAAAAATGTAGGCCATAGTTTTATTGTTAAAAACTCACTAATAATTTATTGTTATATAAATTTAAATTCAAAGAAATTAAAGAAAATTTATTAAAAGACCTTAGAGAACTTCTTCTCTTCTTGTTCTTCTATATATGGTAATGGCGTTTTTTCTCTGGCTTGTAAGAGGATCCAAAATACTTCCCTGTTTACAAGGACGATCTCACAATAACAGCATTTGCTATTAATGGGTTAATACAATATATTTCATGCTGTTGAATCCTTTAAGAAAAGCAAGACAAGGAAAGTGCTCAATTTAAAAAAATTGATGTTGAGGAACAAATGGAAAAATTACAGTAGCCTCGCGAATTGTATCCATAACATAATAGTATATATATATATATATATATATATATATATATATATATATATATATATATATATATATATATATATATATATATATATATATATATATATATATATATATATATATATATATATATATATATATATATATATATATAATAAAAAGATATAAAAAAATAAAATATAATTTTGGATAATTTCATTGACTTGAACAAAAATAACTTCAGAGTTTGGGAAAATTGTGATCAAAACAAGGTATCTTGGTGCCATAAAATCACTACAGAATATAAGGTACGGGATTCTCCAGGACTTAAACCAGCACAAGGTCTCAGATTTTGTTGTCTATCGTCAATTTTGTTTAAAATATGTATCAACGAAATGAAAGACTGGCTGAACAAATGAGCCGGAATGGGTCTGATACTAATAACCAGCGATATCTAGCACATTGAATATATGATGACAAAATTAACGGAATCTTTTGAAAAAGCCGGATTTAAAAATAATTTCTCAAAATACTTGTCAGGTCAAGCCCCAGTTGAATCTAGAATTACAAGGCCAAACGGTTGGGAGCAAAAATTTCAAGCTAGGGATCCATAAAAATTCCGCTAATTTGGTTAAATCAAACACATAGAAAAACATGAAACTGGAGTTCAAAGTATGCTACTATATGCTGAGACTTGGGAAATAACAAAAAATAAATAAAAAAAGAAAATCGAATAGAGAGTGAGAGAAAAAATGGCATGGGCACTTAAGAAGGGTGGATGAAAAGTAAAAGTAAAAGAGGCAGGCAACCAGAACAATGGACAAAACAAGTACGTCGAGACATGGAAACGCGAATAGTGGAACATGAAGATTGTAGAGATAAAAAGGCCTGGAAGATAAGAGACACGGCCAACCGGGCTGTAAAATACTCGCTTATGTAATAATTAATTAATAAACAGTTTCTAAATTAAATAAATTAATAAAACAATCTGTGAAATAGTATATCGACACGTACCCATACGTAGATGTGTATGCGCATATCACAATCGTAAAAACGTGCTTTCATTATTGAATTACGAACTAGACACGCAATAAACACTGTATAAAACAAAATTAATGCAAAATATGAAAAATTCCAGGTCACTTAATTATTTTCAGCCGTTCTTCGGTTTATGTCACCCATTGTGTACTAGTTCACACAGAGTCTTACCGTTAACAATGTATAGCGATTTTTAATGTATTTACGTTTTTTTAGATAAACAATCTCTTACATAAAAGAGATGATATTGTGCAATAATACGTGAGCGCTTAGACGCGTTGGGACGTTTTGTAAGACGACCATTTTGGTCAACGAAAATATTCTGATCATTTTAATAGATACTGTCTCGAAAACAATAAATAACAATATTAATTGATCAGATATTAAACGGCTAAATTGCGGCTACCGCACAAATCTACTATTTTTTAATATTCCGCACGCGTAACCAACAATTAAAAACTAGTTTGAACGAATTTTACCGCTATACCGGGTGAAAACTTCAAAATTTTGCGCAACATTGCAGAAGGTTTGCGGATAATTTAACTAATGAAAATCAAAGTTTTTTGGTAGTTTTTGAGCTGTTAGAAGATTTTCAAAAGTTTCCGTCTTATAATAATACATACATAAGTGTTTAAAAACGTGTAATAACGTCACAAAAGAAAAGTAAACTATAATGTTTAAATTGCCAATCAAAAATTCATTAATCGTACGCGTTTCAATTCTTGAATAATTTCAGGGCAGTTATACATTTCACGGAAAGAGGCAGTATATTAAAAAGTTTTATGCACACATAGTGTGATCTTTTCTCTGTAAACGTTAATCGATGCATCTAAGAAAACAGTTAATACGTATTATTTCATATTTCATTACAAATTCGCAAAATATAGTACCAGATTAGAACTTAGATTTAAATATCCTGACACTACTCTGATACTACAGCCGATACTGTTAATTTTTAAACACAGATTATATTATCAATGTGATAAGTCGTGACAAAAATTCATCAATTGATGGTCCTAGAAATCTAATTTCCTAACACCTGGATTTTTTTTGGGATTATGGAAACATCGTTTTGCGATATCTTAGACTTCTGAAGCATTTTTTTCTGATATTAAAAATATTGTTT